GGTCAGGAATCCTTATGCAATATAAGGCGAGATTGCTGTCATCATCTTGTTAACGAACGGGACTTTAGGCGCGATGCCCAATGAGCTTGCCAAGCAGAAAGGTCTCTGATGAGTCCCTTGGCCGGGACGAAACAAACTACGTAAGACTAGCCACGAACAATGTATTACCACAAGTAACTGTCAACTTTATTGTCAATTATTATTATCATCATCATTATTATCATTATTATTATTAATTATTCATTATAATTATTATTGTTGTTGTTGTTGTTGTTGTTGAGTCCCCTACTCAGTAAACCCATCACCTAACCATCCCCCTAAAAACTGGGCAATATAAATAATATGACTGAATGTCAGACAGAAGTATTGTACACTGTACCTCCCCTCCCCTCCCCTCAGCATTTAGCAAGTTGCTTTAAACGTTTGGGATGGAGGGGTGCAATGTGAGAGTAAAAATGCCTGGCTGAGAACACAACAAAATGACATGGTCATTACTAGAAACCCAGAGCCCAAACACTAACCATCTGGTCACCACATCTCCAACGAAACCAAGAATAGAGCTTCTCCTTATGGATGGGATAACTGTTTAAATGTATCAAACAAGGTTATCTTCTCCAAGTGGCACTAAATACAGTGGAACCTTGATGTAACGAAACCTCTAGTCCTCAGGATAACAATCGATATTCCTTGGCCCAATAATAGTAAAACGTGGAAAAGAAACAAGATATAACAAAACCTTGTTACAGCAAACACATTTTGCGAGCTCCTTGACTCCTTGAAACTTGTACAAGAAATAATTTCCTACGGATAGTCAATCCAGGCAGTCAAAAATCATCCTCACAGCCAATAAATGTGCCTGGTGCCCAGCCCTTAATAAAACCCAGGCTGGTCTAACCTTACACCGTACTTACTGTCTTTCCTTATGTCCATTAAAGTCAGGTTAAACTGTGCATCGCCATTTTCATCTAAATGTACTCTGTAACCCTGGATACCTGTTTCAGTGAAAACAACAAGTCAAATTATTGACTGTAAATATTTTTTGCAATTAAAGTGGATCTGGCAATTAAATGGACAGAATTTTTGAAGCAAGAGAAAAAAGGATATTGCTACATAGGTTCAGAAGAATTGGTATCCATCTATTTGTGCCTAAACTCCTTCTCCAAATGAAGACAACAGAAACAAACACAGGGCACAGAGGAACCAATTCAAATTCAAGTTGAAATACAGTTCATTAGGTATCTAAGACCATGCATAATTTTTGCTAAATTCAAAAAACAACTGCAGCATAAATTGAGCTTGTTGACTCTAATCATTGTATGTGATCAAACTAAGCATACTGAGATCATGTCTGTTAGTAATGATTCTACATTAAAGATGAACCAACATGAACCAACAATGGTCATCATCCAAGAGAGAAAAAACTACTCACTATCAAAAGTGTAATCACGAAGCTGTGATAGTATTTCCTCTCCTGAAGGGGTCTTATTATGTGCCGCAGCACCATACTGTGCTAGAGTTTTATTCAAGGCCACTCCATACTGATAGACAGCATTATACAAGTAGGCAGCAAATACTGGAGGCTACATAAAACAGAAACAATTCATGATAATACATGATGCACAGTAACTGCAAATAATAAACTCCACTACTTTATCCAACCTTACATGTAGTTTGGCAGCATGTATATGGAACAATTCTGTAACAAATAGACCAATGTTACAAAATAATGTCATTTCTAACTTGTACTTTGAGGACTGTTGGAGTTTTGCAATTATCACATACATGAGTACCACACGTTCTTTCTAAAGGATAGCACACTAACAAACTACATTGAACAACACGGATTTTCTGCAGGTTCCAGTTTTTAATTTTGTTCAGAACATTTTCATGGGCTTTTTGTCACCACTGACCAAAAACAGTTGGGCTCTGGGAAGGAAATTACTGAGAAGGAATTTGTATTGTAGTAAATGGTTTGAACCCTGGAGTATCAGTAGTTCATATGGTGTAATCGTCTGGCTGAGGGTAGTTCTGAAAAGAACTGTTGTTGGTGACTGAAGTTTCAAAAGTCATCTTCAGAGTCCTGCAAGACCTCTAATAGATCAACTTAATTCAACTAATGATAGACAGACCTCAAACAGATCAAGTTCATTTGACTTACAGTTCAGATGGATCAAAACTTACTAGGACCAGCAAATGACTGCTGACAAACTTTACACAAGTTACAGCCAATACCATCATAGCTTAATTGACCAATCACTTTCAACGGTCCAGACTTATAACACCATTGGGTTGACTCTGAAGATGACTTCCGCTCAGGTTGTCGAAACATTAGTCACCAACAACAGTTCTCTTCATAACTTCCCTCACCCAGATGATCACACCACATGACTTCCGCTCAGGTTGTCGAAACATTAGTCACCAACAACAGTTCTCTTCATAACTTCCCTCACCCAGATGATCACACCACATGAACTAAGGAATCTGTATGTTTGGTTCCTACAATAACAATGCACGATATAACCTCAACCGTGTTCATATGTACTTACTGTCATTGTGTAACCTGAACCATTGTAATGTTGACTGTAGAAAGGACTCTCAGATGTCTTACTCTTGACCTCTGCAATGAAGTTTTGGTAACTTTTGCCACGTGGATTTTTAACGGCCAATATCAGGGCAGCCGGCATGGCTTCTTTGATGACTGCGCGGGTGACAGTGCTGTTTCTAGAAGCAAAAGGAGCATTCTGAATGTAAGGTTTGCATTGCACCCAGGGGCAGGAGAACAGACAGGCCTCAAGAAATCTCCTGGCTGGTTGTCAAGGACAAGGAGAGGTGGCAAATGGTATCTAGACAATCTTGGGTGTCACCCAATGTTTAGTCCAATCTCTAAGTCTCAGAAGCCAGAAGTCACGAGTCGAATTTTTCAGTGTTTTATTCACCTCGGAGTCTACATGTAAGTTTCTTTATACATCTCAATCTTGGATTTGTCAATGATTGGTCGCTTGGGTCAGTTTGATTATTTCGAAAATCTCAGGCAATTCCCAACACTACATGTATTTCCAAGGACAGGGGCTCAAGCCTCAAGCCTCAAGCCTCAAGAATCAAGGATGGTCATTGGAAATGCTGAGAAACAGCATTACAATGTATAAGAATCCATTCTGTGGGTGGGGCTCACATTTACTTTCTAAACTGAAACAAGACAAGTTATCAGTACTGGCAATATTTTAATTAAACCCCACATTACAACCCTCCCATTAATACGATCAACTCATTATCGAGGCCACTTTATTCTTAACAAATACAATTTGCAGACAGAACAAATATACAGTGCAGCTCAGATATATCCGAACCAAAATATACGCGTAATTCGCGTCAGCCCAATACGCGTATACGCATATGGATATACGCACATACGCGTAT